CATTAGTAAAATTATGAGTAATTCCGGCCTAATTTTTTGATCGTCGCTCTTAGCCAATCAAAATCGAGGATCTGCCGGTCCAAATTTGTTTGGTTAATTGATACATACGTACTGCGCATACAGTAAATCCAGATTTGATTTCAATTTTTGCTGAGAATAAAACGTTGTAGTTTGGGGTTAGTACAATATAATTTCTATTAGTAAAATTTCACGAGGAACATTTTTAATTAGGTCGCAGAAGGTGGTTTCTTAATTAAATTCTGATTTTTTGTAAAAAAAAAATGGGTTCGCTTCGATTGTTTACGTTACACCTGATCTTGAAATTTGATTAGTCAAAATCACTGAAGGGAACAACTTTGTAGGAGGTTTAATTATTACAGCTATTATCATAATTCCTGTGACGATTTTTCGGCCGATTCGGTTAAATTGTGATTTCGGGAATAATAGATTGATATATGAGTCGTTTGTTAGGAAAATCACTGTCTGAAAGCAAGTATTAAATGATGATTTTCCTAGCAGACAACCCATATGTGAGTGCCGCCAAGGGATAAACCTATTATCGGGCTCGTTCAATTATAATTTATACCGGATACAATTAGATTGTATCCAATACAAAATATAATTGAAAGCATCTTCACTTGACGACGTAATTTAAGAACAGGTTACTTTCAAGGCATCTTCGCTGGCAAATAATTGAAAAAAAAAATTTAGAAAGCATGGAATAAGTCTATTAGGGGTTATACTTTCCCTGTAAGAAATTTTATCCGAATACTTTACAGAAACTTATGTTTTGCTAAATATATTTAAAATATAAATAAAATAGTGTATAGTTAAAATTTAGGTTTGATTATGTAATTTAATTTTGATTATTATCTTAATAATAACTAACTTGTTATCACATTTTTAACAACTAATAAAAATTTTTCAAAAGAAAAATAATGATAACTATATAATTATAAATTGAAGTTATAATTAAAATTTAAAATCGACAAATTTGTATGTAAAATTGGTCAGAGTTTTTTTTGTTAGTAAACAAAAAATAGTTTCATAATAAAAATTTATAATGTTGTTACTGTATCAAAATAAAAGCCATCAAATAAAAAAAAGTAATCACTGCTATCGAATAATAAAAATAAACTATCATAAACTATAAAAAAACGTGATTTTCCATCAAATAAATTTTAATTATTTCATGAACAAGCGGTAAGGCCGCAACAAGGGATATTAAAATTGTTGCAAGATTCACTACAACAAGCTACAAAGCTATTTACATTACATCCATCTGATAATAGTTGGCCATCAGGTAAACATGTAGGTGGCGTTGATGTAGGTGTTGGTGTAGGTGTTGGTGTGGTAGTGGTTGCACAGGTATGAAAACTGTTTTTGCCATGCTTAGAATTTAGATGTTTTTTTTTGAATTTTTGATGTGAAATGGCATTTGTATCAAAACTGTCTTTGCCATGCTTAGGATTTACACCATGTGCAGGAAGTTTCTTTATATTTTTTTTGAATTTTCGATGTGGACTGGCATCTGTATTCAATGCCAAGAAACAGAAAATAAGGACGATGGTAATTATTTTTGTAGGATGCATAGCAATCGAGTTATGAAAATATGGAGTATTTTGAGAAAAAGAAGCCTTTAAATAAACTTTTCATAATTATATTTATGAGCTTTTTTTTTAAAAAACATTTAGATTGGTTCAATTTTCAATTTATGAATATACAGTTTATATTCAAAAATATCTGCAAAAATAACATCTTATACTGTAGTTGTCACACATAACACTGTATTTAATTAATGTTGGTTAACGTTAATTAATTGTTAACGCTAGTTTTGTACTGTAATAACTGATAACACTCAGGGGCGTAAATTTGAAAATTAGATCCTCCTAAAATAGCATATGCAGCTTCAAATTAGCGCAAATCCCTATAAATGAATATTATAAAAATAAATTAAATGATAAATAAATGAAAAATACACCGAACTGGATTTGTTATTAAGTAAACATATTTTCGGCTTTAACAGAAGTTGTTCTTCAAATCGGCAAGATTCAAACGGCGGTAAAATCATCAAAAACGATCCATTAGTTCGCCCTCAAAGTTTCGCAACGTTTGTTTACATGATGTAAACTAAGGCAACAAACGTTGCGAAACTTTGAAGAACCATTTTACTACCGTTAGAATCTTCTCGATCTGAAGAACTACTTTTATTACAGCTGATTTGAAAATTAGTGGGACACTTGAAAAATTTGCCTGTTTCCCGAAACCTTTCGGATTCGATCCGAAAATAGTGATGTGATTTCCGAAGAGTTAGATGATTTGTAAGACGAATCTGAAAGCAAGCAAATTTTTTAAGTGTCCCACTAATTTTCAAATCAGCTGTAAAGCTAAAAAATAGGTTTACTTAATAACATACCCAGTTCCGGTGCACTTTTAAATTCTTATTATAGATATTATTTATTATAATTAGGGATACGAATTCAATCCTTATTTCGACAAAAATAACGTACTCAAAATAACGCGCAAGTCAATTAATTATGCACAGATGGCATTATTTCGCGCTTGTACGGTAAAGATAATCCAATTGATTCAAAAAAGGTTAAAAGCAACTTAATCTACAAATCATATTGTATTTGAGTGCAGTCAAGAGAAAACATACACTTTTTTGTGCAACTGATTGTTTACAATCTAAAAATAATTGGTTATATGTTATGCGGAATTATACAATCAGTTGCACAAAAATGTGTTTTCATTATCTAATCGCATAGATTCATGTATCGGTATGTACTGTTATTGGTGCTTAATTATACATGGTTTACTTATTTCTCACTGTGATACAAATCACATGAAATTATAAATATTCTATTTGCTGTAAATTTGCTTTAACTTTATAGTTAGGAAAATAGAACCTATACTAAAATTTTGCAAAGAAACATTTTTGTTAGAACACAAGAGGCGGTTTTTTAGACAAAATTTTGAGTTATATATTAGCGATTTTTTGAAAAATACCAATAACACCTGATCTCACGATCTACATACAAAATTTTCCTTTTTTGGGGACGTCTAAAGCGGAGTAGATTCTTATAATATATGGGGTCTTTACCTTGAAAATGACCTTACGGTATCATATCGGCGGATTTTTGGAATTTACTATTAAAAATTCCAAAAATATTTAACGGTGAATAACTTTTGACCCACTGA